CTCCTGATTGGACCTCCATCTTTTCTTGCATGATTGAGTGTCACCGCTGTCACTCCTGAGAAGCTCAGTTTATGCGCCACTGAATCGGGTCTTCTATTGGAAGTCACAGTACTGCTGGAATCCTGAGTCTGCATATCCTTAAGGTCTTGAAAAAGAACGTGGGTCAGCAAAGGGGGAGTGTTGGCCTAGAGGGTCAGAGCAGTGCGCTTGTGCTCTGAGAAGGTAGCAAGCACCCGGTTTGATCTCCACTGCCTCCACTCTGGGTTCTTGAAAAAGACCCTTAAACCGGGTTAAACAGGTTTTACATGATGGCAGCCCATGGGAATGGATTAAATGCAGAGCTAAATTTCTCCAAGTTGAGATAAATAAAGATCAATTATTATTAAACAGCTGCTACTTTAAATTTGACATTTTGTTCAATATCAGGTGCATAAATTTACACAAATCTTTTAATTGGTCTCATGTGAGTGCATCTCTGTTTGTGTGTTTGGTTATTAGACTCGGGGATGTTTGAAAAAGAGAAACATAAGAGACTTTAAAAGTCAAAGTGTAAGTTACATTCAATCAAATGTGTAACACCCCTTCTAAAACACCTTCACTTGCTTCATAAAGCAGCAAATCCACTTAAAGATCCTTCTCTAAATTATAAAACTTTCAATAACCTTGTAAAGTAAATTTGTCTTATTAAAAGTGCTAATAAATAACATGGATTATTGTTATATATTATTATCATCATCACAAAAATGAAAAAAATACAGTCCATGAATGTGATTTAATATATCCAAGCTCATTATAATTTTAAAACTATGTGTTTTTAATCTTCATGGATTGTTGCCCAATTAATCATGGCATGCATTAATGTATTTTTTCAGGAGAGGGATAGCACGAGAAAATGGAGGAAACAAACACAGAAGAACTAAAAAACACGTTTAACTTACGTGTATAAGAGTTTCATAACCGAAAGAACGAGATCGCGGATACAAGCGGCCGAAATGGGTTTCCTCTGTAGGGTGGCTGGGCTTTTCCTTAGAGATAGGGTGAGAAGCTCGGTCATCTGGGAGGACTCGCCGTAGAGCTGCTGCTCCTCCACGTCGAGAGGAGCCAGTTGAGGTGGCTCGGGCATCTGGTTAGGATGCCTCCTGGACGCCTCCCTGGTGAGGTGTTCCGGGCACGTCCCACCGGTGGGAGGCCCTGGGGAAAACCCAGGACACGCTGGAGAGACTACAGTGGGTCCTGGTTGGAAATGGACACTTAACTCACGCTCTCCTTGTTTCACGAATTGCGTGAAAAACATGTGACTACTATAGCCACTAGGTGGCAGTCTGAGTCCATTTTCGGCGTCCCATGAGTCTGATAATAATAGGCCTATTGTTGTACTATTTTTGTTATTTTTATTATTATTATCATTATTATTATTATTATCTAGCTGGTTCAACTTTCAGTTTGATCTGGAAAAGGACGCTATGATGCCTGATACAACAAGCATGAAAGGCAATGATGTTTTAGCGGAAAAAGAGAGGAGGGGGTCTGGCGGTATTTGTGAATGAGAGATGGTGCAGCTCAGCTCATGTTCACGTGAAGCAGCAGATATGTAGCCCAGATGTGGAATTACTCGCCAGCTGCGTCTCAATTCGCAGGCTGCGTACTTCGTAGGACCCAGCCTACCTAGCCTCCGGAGGACCCAGCCTTGGTAGGCTGCTCCGGAGGATCCTCAGCCGTTGGTAAATGGGAAGGTCTAGCCTTTGGCGCACTTCCTGGTTGCGATACGACGTCATCACATCTACCCCAAAAACAGCGCCAAACAAAATCCGACAGCTCGAGAAACACGGAAAAAAACAACTAAACATTAAAAAAAAATGGATATGGAAATTTTTATTTTATTTTTTTTATTTACTTGCTATTGGAGGAGGAGAGTCGGCTTTGACAGCTTCGGCGGCAGCAAAACTGGTGACGGATTTTTCTCAGGCTGGAAGAGCGCAGTGGAGAGGTAACATTTACCTGCTATTATTCTAACCCACAGAGGCCTGCTAATGATCAGAATATACCAGTTATTAAATAAACGCTTGTCAGCAGATTGATGAATATGTTTAAATATCAAATTTTATATTTATTTGTAAGTTTGTAATTTATTTGTTTGTAACTTTAGTAATTTGAATTGAATAGTTAAATGTGTACAAACCCTGTAAATAACTGACTTAAATAACTACTTTCACTATCACTAATGTTGTGTTGAGAAGCCAAACTGTTGAGAAATAAATAATTTTTTGTCTAAATTGTTATCCCCTTACTGCCTGATTTTATTTGCAATCATATATATAAAAAACATAATACAGGAAAAAAGTCTAAATATAAAAACGAAAAAATAAATTAAATAGTGGATCTAGATCAAGTCTAATAAATCATTTAATAAAGATAATGAAAAAAAGATAGATGACTGAATAAAAGTAAATATTTTTGTCTCTTTTTTTTCTACAGGTCATAACAGCATGTGTTATCCTGCACAACATCTGCCTGGAAGCCGGTGACATCACGGCCCCAGAGGACGACATGCCAGAGGATGAGGAGGGGGAGAACGTGTTGGCGGCAGTCAGTGGTGCTCCATGGAGGGACCAGTTGTCTGCTGAGGTGTCTGCCCCTGGAGGAGGGTCTACCCGACCACCGTTACATTTAGATGGCAAGTAGAATCACATTTTAGCTGTTCTTATTTAAGGGTTATGAAAACACTTTTAGTAAAGTCATTATTTTCTGCGTCTTTTTAAACTTTTTTAGTAACATGGCAGCCGTCAATTGGGTCAGCCCTGCAAACCCTGATGGACGATGTGGTGAACAGTGGAGAGAGGCACCCCCCACCCCCTATATGATGTCCCACTCGCAGTCAGAAGACTCCAAGGTTGTCTGTGTGGCATCGCATCCAGTCCAGCAGCACCACCAGGGACTCCTGCTCAGTCACAATTGTATATATATATATATATATATATATATATATATATATATATATATATATATATATATGTTCTCTAGTAATATTTATTTTATATCTTCTGTAAATAGTTGTAGTAGTTAATTTTTAAATCTAATGTAAATAGTTAAAAATGTTTTTAATAGTTTATTGTAAATACTTGCTTCTCTAAAAATAAACTGATGTCACTGAGAAGTTGTTCTAAGTTTACTTAAATTATAAAGAAGTGATGAAACAGATAATGTAAAAAGGTTAAAAGACTTTAAGAACACACCGTAAGACTGGTAACGATTTACGGTTCCAACATTTAGCTTTTTTTTTTTTTTTTTTTTTAACATTTAGCAGTCTAAAAAGACACCAGAGACCTATTTCTGTTTCTACAGAGGAGTAGAAGAGCCACCATTCCAAAAGAATACCATGTTACAATTTCAACTATATTTGTGAAACTACTTTGTTGGTATATTGATTTTTTTTACAGTATAAAATGCATAAATTACACTTCGGTGCCTTGCTGGGTTCTTCCATTTAGAGGGGTTTTCTTTGGGGTAATACTTTGTTTTTTTTTAAAGTAAATTTTTGAGTTATCTTCAATCACATTGTTTATTTTGTAGACTGTTTCATTATGTAGATGAGTTTGTAAATTAGCTTAATCCTTTTATTCTTGTTTCTCTGTTTAGACTTTGTTTGTTTTCTACCTGTTTAATTGTGGCTCGGTCCACTCCAGTGCAGGTGTGTTGCCAACTGGTTATACAGGCACTGAGATCTTGTAAGCTCAGGGAGATGGTTGTCAAAGGGAAAAGTGCTGAATAAAAATCCTCAGAGGAATCTGGAACCGGAGGCTGATGCTGTTTGTTTTGTTAACCTTGCTGATCCTTGACCATACTACCTCACATATAGTAATATTAGAGCTCCTGTTGACTTCAGTTTGGTTTATTTATAAAGAGCCCATTTACAACCACTTATTTCAACAACATTTACTAAAAAAGACCAGCAGATCCTTTTCAAATGACTTAAATCAAAGCTTTATTATAGTAAAAAATAACAGGTGAATATAAAATAAAAGGAAGGATCCCTTAGTAGAAACAGAACCAGTAGGCAGGATTTAATATAATTTAGTCTAGTGAAATAAAAATAAGGCATCTAAAGGCAATGTACACGAGAGCTTTAAAACAGAAACATGTAACACAATTCAACACAAACACAGAATGAAATCAATCATAAAAATCCAATTACATCCTTTTTACAATATGGTAAAGATAAATTCAGTCTATTTTGGCGTTTAGAGAAATGTCTTCAATCCAAAGAAGCTCAGCCAACCGCATTTCCTCCTCCTGAGCAATGAAGTGGTAACAGTAGAGAGGAAAACTAGCTTTAAGCAGGAAGGATCCTCCAGCAGAACCCGGCTCCATGTCAGCGCCCATCTACTGCGGCAGAGCGGGTCTTTAACAGGACAGCAGACGTCCAAGAGGTGCCGGTCCAACGAGGAGACGACGGAAGAAATCTGCTGGAAGAGAAGAACAGGAGTTAGTGAGAGAACACGCTAGTCAGTGACATTTAAATACAGAAACACTGAGAGAGGTGTCAATTTAACCAAGAGAAGAGGAAAACACACAGGAAGAAGCGAAAGTTAATAGCAGTGATAACTGTAGACAATGGATGCTTGGAGAAAATGCCTGAAAATGCTGCATTTGTTGGAGGCTACAGTCGGTTTCATCAGGGTCGTTTCTCTGCTTTAATAAGTTCTAAAAACCCTTCAGACATCAACCGGGGGGAAATTCTCCCATATTGAATCAGAAGCTGCTTCTGAACTGTTTATCTGTGGTCTAATGGAAAAGTCAGAACTTCTGGTTCTGGTAAAGTTTTGGTTATAGAGATAAATTGAGGTGAACATCCATTCATGATGAAAAGAAGAATTAAAGGTTAGACCACCTTGATGGGATGGTTTTGGCTTTTGAATCTATTTGTTCTGGATCTGTTTTTATTGTCTTCTCTACTACTGATGAACATCTGGAAGCAATAAAGGCTCTTTACCTCATTTCTGGGTGGAGCAGACTGATGGTTTAGCTGTGGGGTCGTCGACGTTTTTCATTCCAGGACTCCAGAATGTTGGAGAGACGAGCAGAGGAGCCATGTTTCTCCTCCTTGTTGGTCTGTGTTCTCCATCCTCTGCTTCAGCTCCTTCATCAATGAAAGCAAAGTGTCCTCAGAGTCATAAACTGTCTGCATGTGATGCCTCTATAGTCAAACAACCAACATACCTCCAAATACGTGTGGATGGACTCTGTTCCACTGAGATCCGACTGTTAGAACGCTGCTTCCATATTCAACCTGCTTCTCCTGTAAAAAAGAAGCTAAATTAATCTACAGAATTTCCTGACACCAAGTTTAAATCTGGGGCAGGATGTTGTTCAAATAGTCATCTTGGTCTCTCTGTGTTCTGCCTGGAAGCTTGAGTTGTCTGTTTGTCGTGTTAATAAAGGCTTACTGCACGTGTTCTCCTCTGTGCCGTCCTCAGGTGGGGACTAGGAGGCTCCTCACCATCCTGGATGTCCCGGTTCCTCACAGCAGTTCTGATTTTGGACGTCCACAGTTCCTGAAAATACATGAAAAACTAAGTGAGGTCACCTGAAATGTTGACTTAATATTTAAATGATGGATTATTGTGTCTCCTTACTGAACATGCTCTCACTGTTTACTGCTCCTCTGGTTTGGTCGCCGTAGATCTCATCAGTGTCTTCTGACGGCCCAAAGCTTGTAGCGGCTCGGTCCGACATGGGATTCACAAACAAAGAAGAGATCCACTGCGGTCAGAACTGGCACAGATCATATGGAGAATATTTCTGCACAGGGTTCTTTCCCTTAAACTAGGCCTGAAAACTAACTGAGGAACATCTAGAACTGGATCAACTCACAGCTGAAAGCAGGTTCTAACAGTCGGCGCCATTCACAATCCACATCCCTAAATCAGTCCTTTCCTCTGCTTCAAACTGCTCTGAAATCAATTAGTCCCTCCAAGCATCGTCTTTATCTTCTCACTATCATCCCAGAGACCAGTGCAACTGGTGACCACTGCAATCTTTGCCACTGTTCTATTCTAGATCTAGTTTGTCTCCAGCAGCATTGTCCTTCTATAGATCAGGGCTTTCCAGCTCCACTCCTCCAGAGCTGCTATGCCGCAGCTTTCAGTCACATCTCTTCTCCATCAGACCTGAATCAAACGTCTGAATTCCCTCATCAGTCATTCAGCTCTGTAGAGCTGTTTGATCCTGGTGTTTTGGAGGAGAGATGCACCTGAAAGCTGCAGAAAAGCTGCTGCAGAGGACTGGAGTTAGATACCTCTGCTCCACTACAGCCTTGTCCCCCTGCCTCTAGACTTGAAGTTTTCCTCATCTCCACTTTTAGACCTTTAGGATCATAGTTTGACCTCCGGGTATTAGTCCTCAGCAGCGATGTCTCACTAATCAAAGGTTTCGATGCATTCCCAGTAGCGATGTCCGGCTGTTGCCTCGGTTTGGTTTGCCTCCAGGATTTAATTTAGTTCATTTGCCTCCATTCTGTGTTTCTTCTTGTCAAACGTCGTTTTTAAATCAATCCTTGGATTGTTTGGTTTGGCTTCTGTTAGCTAGGAGAATGTCCAGCTCTGTCTAGACTTAGAGCATGTTAGATTGTTTCCGCCTTAACCAGCTCTCATGTTTCATACCTTTTAGAAATTGTTAGTATGTCTCTGCTCAGATTTCTGTGCTAAAGGAAAATTCATAACATTTAAAACTTAAATTAAAACCTAGCAGCGGGGTAAAGAAAAGCCACGGTGCTAGACGCTACCTGAGGCATCCCTGGACCTGCCAGACTCCTTATCATCTAAAAAACTAAATCTAGCAGTGGGGTAAAGAAAAGCCATGGCGCAAGACGCTACCAAAGGCATCCCTAGACCTGCCAGATATAAACACAATCAATAAATTATACCTAGATATGACCACCTCCAATCATCATCAAATCAAGAAAATACATCTAACTCCTCCTACAAAATGATCCAAAGCAAGATGGTAAAATGTTTGGTTCTTCTGCTGAAGCCTCAGCTTCTCTTCATTGTGAGAAGTTGTTGAAGGAGTTAAAGGAAGATTCTTGATCAAATTCCTCTTCTCACAGGTCCCGACGAAAAAGCTTCATAGGGGGCTCCTCTTCGTCATCTTCCTCTCTTCTCCTCCTCCGGGAAGAAGGGCCGGGCCGTGGAGGTCGGTGGTCCTCTTCACTCTCCGAGGAGTCCTCTGGCGGCGCCTGGTACCGTTGGAGTCTGATGAAACGGGAAACCGTCTCAATGAAGCGAAGATGTGTTTGAAGGGGGTCATCTTCTTCACTGTCTTCTTCCTCAGAGCTCATGGTATCATACCCAGAGAAGTCACTAGACGCCTCAAGAGACTCACTAGAAAAAGACCCATCCTCATCAGAATCCTCTATCTCCTGCTCCTCATTTACCACCCCTTCTGGGACCTCTGCCTCATTATCATCCTCCTCATCATCATAATCCTCTAGCTCCTGCTCCTCATTTACCACCCCTTCTGGGACCTCTGCCTCATTATCATCCTCCTCATCATCATAATCCTCTAGCTCCTGCTCCTCAATTACCACCCTTTCTGGGACCTCTACCTCATTATCATCCTCCTCATCATCATAATCCTCTAGCTCCTGCTCCTCATTTACCACCCCTTCTAAGACCTCTGCCTCATTATCATCCTCCTCATCATCATAATCCTCTAGCTCCTGCTCCTCATTTACCACCCCTTCTGGGACCTCTGCCTCATTATCATCCTCCTCATCATCATAATCCTCTAGCTCCTGCTCCTCATTTACCACCCCTTCTAAGACCTCTACCTCATTATCATCCTCCTCATCATCATAATCCTCTAGCTCCTGCTCCTCATTTACCACCCCTTCTGGGACCTCTACCTCATTATCATCCTCCTCATCATCATAATCCTCTAGCTCCTGCTCCTCAATTACCACCCCTTCTAAGACCTCTGCCTCATTATCATCCTCCTCATCATCATAATCCTCTAGCTCCTGCTCCTCAATTACCACCCCTTCTGGGACCTCTGCCTCATTATCATCCTCCTCATCATCATAATCCTCTAGCTCCTGCTCCTCAATTACCACCCCTTCTAAGACCTCTACCTCATTATCATCCTCCTCATCATCATAATCCTCTAGCTCCTGCTCCTCATTTACCACCCCTTCTGGGACCTCTGCCTCATTATCATCCTCCTCATCATCATAATCCTCTAGCTCCTGCTCCTCATTTACCACCCCTTCTGGGACCTCTGCCTCATTATCATCCTCCTCATCATCATAATCCTCTAGCTCCTGCTCCTCATTTACCACCCCTTCTGGGACCTCTGCCTCATTATCATCCTCCTCATCATCATAATCCTCTAGCTCCTGCTCCTCATTTACCACCCCTTCTGGGACCTCTGCCTCATTATCATAATCCTCTAGCTCCTGCTCCTCATTTACCACCCCTTCTGGGACCTCTGCCTCATTATCATCCTCATCATCATCATAATCCTCTATCTCCTGCTCCTCAATTACCACCCCTTCTGGGACCTCTGCCTCATTATCATCCTCCTCATCATCATAATCCTCTAGCTCCTGCTCCTCAATTACCACCCTTTCTGGGACCTCTACCTCATTATCATCCTCCTCATCATCATAATCCTCTAGCTCCTGCTCCTCATTTACCACCCCTTCTGGGACCTCTGCCTCATTATCATCCTCCTCATCATCATAATCCTCTAGCTCCTGCTCCTCATTTACCACCCCTTCTGGGACCTCTGCCTCATTATCATCCTCCTCATCATCATAATCCTCTAGCTCCTGCTCCTCATTTACCACCCCTTCTAAGACCTCTACCTCATTATCATCCTCCTCATCATCATAATCCTCTAGCTCCTGCTCCTCAATTACCACCCCTTCTGGGACCTCTGCCTCATTATCATCCTCCTCATCATCATAATCCTCTAGCTCCTGCTCCTCAATTACCACCCCTTCTGGGACCTCTGCCTCATTATCATCCTCCTCATCATCATAATCCTCTAGCTCCTGCTCCTCAATTACCACCCCTTCTGGGACCTCTGCCTCATTATCATCCTCCTCATCATCATAATCCTCTAGCTCCTGCTCCTCAATTACCACCCCTTCTAAGACCTCTACCTCATTATCATCCTCCTCATCATCATAATCCTCTAGCTCCTGCTCCTCAATTACCACCCCTTCTGGGACCTCTGCCTCATTATCATCCTCCTCATCATCATAATCCTCTAGCTCCTGCTCCTCATTTACCACCCCTTCTGGGACCTCTGCCTCATTATCATCCTCCTCATCATCATAATCCTCTAGCTCCTGCTCCTCATTTACCACCCCTTCTGGGACCTCTGCCTCATTATCATCCTCCTCATCATCATAATCCTCTAGCTCCTGCTCCTCATTTACCACCCCTTCTGGGACCTCTACCTCATTATCATCCTCCTCATCAACAGAACCCTCTATCTCTTCCTCGTCATTAATCACCACATCTACGACCCTAAACTCATCATCAGACTCCACATCAACAGTAAAATCCTCCTCTACATCATCCGAGAACAGCCCTACGTTCATATAGAAAGGGAAATCAACCTGATCCGCGATCAAGATCCAGAACTCCAGGGCAGGATCAGATGGAAGCGGGGCGTCTGGAGCAGTGAGGAAAAAAATCGTTAGACCAGGAACATCAATTAAGGAACATCAAATCACAATACTCAATGCTTTATTTTAGGTTGCTGAATGTGCCTGTGAGAGTTAGTCAGGTTTAAGGAGATTTAATCAATAAAAACATCAATCTGTGCATACATACATATTTTTATGTTTATATGTGTGTATATGGTCCTAGGCATCATTGTGGGGACCTTTTTTGTTATTTCACTGTCACACTGAGGAGCGATTGTCGTAAAGGGAGGACATCTTGCTGGTCCTCGTGCGTTTTGCTGACAGCTAGGTTTAGAAAAAAGGCTACAATATCCTTTAAATCACAAGACTACCACAAAATTGAAAATGTATTTTAAATTCAAATCTTTATTTTACTAGTTATTGGGGTTTTGATTTTTTTTTTCAGGATGTTATCAATATAAAAATACGCTCCAAATGGTCCATTTACTTACTTTATTTCTATTACGCTCCCTGCTATTACACTAAACTCCCCCTAGGGTCACGCTTCCACATTTGGGAGCAACTGACCCAGACTATTCATTTGGATTTGTTCAGATTAAAGGACATTTTATGCTGTGAGTAAACCTTTATTAAACCCATACTACGGAATTAGAAAAGGTTTGATCTATTAAATATTTATTTGTCAGAAAAAAAAAAAATATATGTTTCCCTTAACAGAAATAAAGGCTTAAAAGCCTCAGCTTATCAGACCCCTTCCTCAGTGCATCCTAGAGTAGAAATAAAGACCTTAATCAGCACATAGAAAGCCCAGAGCAGAAATGGACATTAGCAAACTATGTAGAATAATTTTGTTTTTTTTTTCTAAAAACTGTAAGAAAGGGTCCTATTCAGAACTTTTAATGGGGTTAGGTGAAACCATCAGTGTTGAATGTTTCGAACACCTAGAAAAATAAGTCCTCAATGAATAAATTGTGTTATTACTGGTGACAGATTGGATGAAATTATTCACCTGAAGATTCAAACAAAGGCTGCAGAAAAACAAAGACTGAACCCAGATAAACGTTTAAATAATATATGGTTCTAAATTGTTGTTTTAATTCTACCTTCTCCCTGTAAAAGAAACATATCATCCTCCTTTCTGAACTCTTAATTAAACATTTATTCTCTATGATTTCCTCACACGGTTAACAATGGCAGCACTTAGAATAAACAGTCAAGCTCTAAACATGTTACAGCCCAAAAATGTAAAGGATTTCATTTTTATTTCACAATCATTTTAAACCTTATAGTTGTTTATTGTTGTATCCATGGAGACCATACTTGTTCTTCAAGGCCGTCTCTGACAGAAGGGGCCAGATGCCATCTTGTTTTTAAAGGATTGGAAACCAAACTCACCAAAAATTATCCTTTGGAACCACAAACTTTTAAAATCTGTCAAACATTATTAGCACATTTGATCTTCCATTAAATTCGAAATGCCACCTTAAAAAAAGCCTAAAGTTGTTTAATGCATTCAACTAAGGTATCCATGGAGACCATGTTTTTCACAGCATTTTTTAAAAATCCTCCTCTTTAAAGTATTAATGTATTTAACAAAACCTATTTTATCCTAAAACAATTAATTTTGTATTTTTTCAACCATTTCCACATTAACTTCGTTAAATATTTTCTCAAGCCAAAATGTACTTTTTATCTAATTTTATCTCTGTTATCATTTCTCCCATTTCCAACCAATAAAAACTCGATTTAATACATAATAACCCTTAAAAACTTTTTATTAAAACACTAAATAAAAACCTATCATTTCCTAAACACATTTACTAAACTAAACAACTTGAGAATTTTAATGTCTTCTTTTTTCCAGCTGTTATCAGGTTTAAATTCAGCCAACTTACAAAATACTCAAAATGTTCACTTTTTTATTAAATAGAAAAATAAACAGTTCAGCTTGATAACATATTGTGTTAAATGTCCTTCCAATATATTTGAATATTTATTGAATGTAATTTCCCCAACATTTCCACATAGAGCAAAATGCATTTTTTAAAATCATAGAGATAGCGCCACCTAGTTTTCAAACATTTACTTCTAATTCAACAAAGGTGTTTCTCTCAAACAGAAATAAAAGTTATTTTCAAATCATTAAATCACTGTTAACATTTAATCGACTAAAAACATTTAATCCTGGGATGTCGGAGATGCTACATGCTAAGCTAGCTGCCACAACTTCATGAAAAAAAAACATCAAATTAATCATTTTTCACGTAACATTTTTGTAATTAACAAAGTAAAAGAGTACAAACAAACCTTCCAGATGATCTCTCGAGTAGTTGTGCTCCTCTGGTGCGTAGCTCATCGTTAGCAGTTTAGCAATCCACAGACTGCAGCAAGTTCAGCTTCAAGGTCCAGGCTGGAAAGTAACCGTTAAAGATAGGCGCTCCATGGCAACCGAGGAGCCTGCGCATGCGTGCGTGTGAATATTTAAAGAAGCTTGCTAATTGCAGCAGCTAATTAGCCAAGCACAGCATGTTTTTGCAATAATATAGTTTTATCCTCGCCTAAACATGAGTTCAGTTAAAGCTTGAGTTTTAAAGCTCACTGGCAGCTTTCTAAGGCAGTTTGAAATATTCGACAATAAATCTGAATCTGGAAATAAATTTCACTCTGAATGAGAGAGTTGCATTTTTTTCATCGCCATTACGATTGCTGCCCATTTCAACACACCCATTCAGATGGAGTAAAATAATCCCCCCTGCATACAGTATGTTTCTCGGCTGGCCTGGGAACGCCTTGGGGTTCCTCCTGAGGGGCTAGAAGAAGTGGCTGGGGAGAGGGAAGTCTGGCGACCCGACCCCGGATAAGCGGAGGAAGATGGATGGATGGATGGATGGATGGATGGATGGATGGATGGATGGATGGATGGATGGATGGATGGATGGATGGATGGATGGATGGATGGATGGATGGATAAGAGTAATATTAAAAAATAATTGCGTCTCCCCTCTTCTGAAATAAAAATTTCATCCATGTCTCTAACAATGGTAGGCAAAGCAGGTGAAGCTTCTTACCCAAGACGGAGCACTGAAAAGCCAGACCTTGAGCAAACAATTGTTGGGTGGCATAGCCCATTCATTCTTTTAAAGTACTTTAAAAAAATCAACAAAAGAGTATGCTAACTAGAAGTAGTAGATGATGTTTATATGTTAAACATTTTATATACTGACTGTGTGCTGTAGTTATTATGTCTTAGTCGAGGTTTGTAATAACACCCTATGGCAGGGGTGGCGAACACGCGGCTCTCGAGCCGCATGCGGCTCTCGACCAATAATAATGCGGCTCTTTGCCTGTTACCATATTTTCTATATACTGTGGCTCTTTCCTCGTTTCATGTTTCTTTTCTTCTTCTTTTTATATCTTAAACACACTTAAATCCATCAGGGGTTATTAAAAACAAATAATAATATTTTAAAATTAATAAATTAATTTGACAGATTGGGTGTTTTTTATGATACGTAAGACGTAAGAGACGTAAGTGACCGCAAATCATATGCGCGGATTACGTCTCATGCCGGGAAATTAGGTAAACATTTTATATGCACGCAGACCGCAGACTTACCTTCTTTGTAAAAATGGCAAAATGCAAAGCTAAACGAAAATATGAGGATGAACACAGGACATTTCTGGAAGAATGGGAAGATGCTTACTTTTTTATTGAACGAAATGGCAAATCGCTCTGTTTATTATGCGATACCACGATATCACATTTCAAGGCTTCAAACCTTCAGCGTCATTTTAGCACACTCCATGCTAATATTGACAAGGATTTCCCCAAAGGTACTGAACTACGGAAGCAAAAATTGAGCACATTGAAAAGCCAGGTAAAAAGACAGTCTCAAATGTTTCAGCAATTGACCAAGCGTGGAGAAGCTGTGACACTTGCATCCTATAAAGTGGCATGGAATATTGCCCGTGCTAAAAAACCATACAACGAAGGCGAGTTTTTAAAACAGTGTTTTGTAGATGTAATTGACATTTTGGCTCCAGATAACAAACAACTCAAAGATTCCATCACTGAGCTCCAGATGTCACGACACACAGTTGAAACCAGAATATCAGACATAAATAATGCGCTTGAATCTGATCAACATGCAGACCTGAACGCATGTGCTTATTTTAGTGTAGCATTAGACGAGTCATGCGACATACAGGACAAGCCACAGTTGGCAATATTTGTACGAATGATTTCTGAGGACTGCGTGGTGAAAGAAGAGCTTCTCGATATTGTCCCATTAAAAGACAGAACTCGCGGCACTGACGTAAAAGAAGCAATGATGGAAGTATTCAAAACAGCGAATATGTCTTTAGAAAAACTCACCGCAATAGCCACGGATGGAGCGCCATCGATGATTGGTTCTGTGAACGGCCTTGTGGGCCTTTGTAAGGGTGATGTCCTCTTCCCCGATTTTTGGAATTTTCACTGCATCATCCACCGGGAGCAACTCGTGTCTAAAACACTGAATTTAGACCACGTCATGAAACCTATGATGGAGATTGTGAACTACATCCGCACGCATGCCCTTACTCACCGACAGTTCAAAAATCTCATTGCTGACCTAGACGCAGACTTGCCAAGTGACTTGCCACTGCACTGCGCTGTAAGATGGCTCTCAAGAGGTAAAGTGGTTTCACGCTTTTTGGAGCTTTTGGAACCAGTAAAATTGTTTATGGCAGAAAAGAACAAAAGTTACCCTCAGCTCTCAGACCCCAAATGGCTTATGGATTTGGCTTTCTTAGTGGACATGCTTTCACACTTGGACAAACTAAACCTGGACCTGCAGGGGAAATTAAAAACTCTTCCTGATCTGACACAAAGTGTATTCTCCTTTGTTAACAAGGTGAAGCTGTTCAAAGTGCACATTCAAAATGGCAATCTGTCCCATTTTCCTTCATTGCGCAGCGCCCAGCAGAAGGCTGGCATTAAAATGAATATGGGTCAGTACGTGAAAATGCTTGCGCAACTGC